ATGTATGTATGTATGTATGTATGTATGTATGTATGTATGTCTGTCTGTCTATCCGTCCGTCTGTCTGTCTGTCTGTTTGTTTCCCTGTGGGTTTGTCATGTGTCTGTCTGTGTGCATGCCTGTTTGTCTGTGTGTCAATCTGCGCGTGTGCCTGTGTATCTGCCTGTCTGTGTGTATGTCTGTCTAGCATTTCCCTCAACAACCTTTCCTATTAGTCCCAATTACGGTTGCAATCTTTTTCAGCACTGGTCATTGAGTGGTTTGATTGCGATCGCAGGGAATTGATGCGAAGCAGCTCGTTAGGATACACTGTGTTGTTGGCAATGAGCTGTTTGGTGTATCAGGCCCATAACATCTTGTTCCGTGTTTGATAGCTGCTCTGCAACACACGAACAAGCTTAGAAATTTTTATATGGATATCTGAATCTGAGTGAAATCGGATTTGTTGATGAAGCCTCCTATCATTTTGGAGAGTATCACAGCACTTTAATATGCATTAGGAACAACCAGTCGGCACTGGGAGTTCGCTTCACTATATCCAGCGAAAATTAGTAACCACCTCCTACTCGCTGAAGAAAATGATTTGCGTGGGGTATGAGTACAATTTCAAACCTCTTCATGGAGGCGGTTACGAATAGATGGTGAGCCAACTCTACCGACTCGTGGGAGCAGCTCACAAAACCCAATGTTCGACTTCCATCCAGAATCGGTGGAGAGTTGTGAATGCGCATGTGATTTCATTTATCCATCGAATGGTGCAGTTGTATATTCGATCCCTGGGCCATGCGTGTCGTAGTGCGCAACTTGTCGCTGTGCCATTTCTCTCCATGAAAGGACAATGTCTTCACAAAAGCAACTGAAAAGTGACAAACCTTACCGGTACACAAGGAAAACGTCTCGTTCGTGCGTCGTCGTAACTTAAGGAAATGTGGCCGATTTTCATGTTCCGATTATCATCTGTCGTAATTTCCAATGATTATACCATCCCATGAATCAAAGCATATCCCTCCTCCAGTTGTTCCAGATCAGAAGACCAGTAGAAAGTGGCAAGAACAAACAAATGCCTCTGGGCTCACCGTCTACCACCAACTGGGACGAAGTAAAGTGAACTTTTCCCAATAACACTGAACTATTGCTCAGCTACATAGGAGTGTTGATCAAAAAGGTTCATTCCATCGAAGGTGAACAATTCTCGACTTAGCCCTAATATCATGATTCATCGAGAAAGTCGCAGGAGCCAGAATTCTCAAAGATAGAGAGAACCGTTGTTAAACAACCAGGCCCCCTATCAGTATTCAGTTTCAAGGGAACACACACTCCAAAGCTGTTGTAGGCTTTCCTTTCGCTTTCGTTCAGTTTTTCCACTGAAATTGCCCAACGATTCCAGTCCGACTGGAATGTCATCAAAGAAAGGGAAGTGTTTTTTGCAAGAGAGCAGTTCCATTCAAACTCGACTAGTAAACGTTAGATTGCTATGCAGTACAAAGAATGTTCTATGGAACTGAAATGCAGTCGCCGCCAGCTTGTCATTAGAATGTTCGTTTGAGACAAAGAAGCATGGGAATAGGTATCGTGAGAATGGCAAAGCTGGACTGCTGCAGTGTTGTAAGTATAAAAGCACAAACCAGACCAATTTCCTGAACGAAGGAATTTTCTAAGAAACTTCTTAAGACCAAAAATTTAGCAGGAATGAAGGGAGTATAGGTAATTGTAGACCTTAAGCGGTTGTGTACTTGGCAAAAAGAAGTAGAGGACACACTGGAACTCTGGGGAGGTAAAGTTTCGGTGAAATTCTGGCAGAAGGGGTACAGTATGCCAAATGTGGAAATTGCTAAGATCATGATGACCACACGAATATGCACTGATCCCAGTTCAAGCTTCGCCATTACTGCTGGTAAGCTGTCGCCTCCCGCTTTGTACTACAGAGCTACTTCTCTTTTAGGCAGTAGATCACCAGCAGGAATGGTGGAGCTTCGAACTGACATTCTCTGAACTGACGGCTCTCTCCGTTGTCGATGAAGAGAAGTACTTTTTCTCAGCGTACCATTCGTAGTACTTTACAGAGGCATGCGCAACTCCGTTGAAGGGGTGGATGGATTAATTGAAAGCTCTACTTCACAGCTAGCGGCAGGCTCAACATGGCAAGCTTCATGCAGGGCTCCGTTCCTCGACATAAAAGAATCATTTATATGGATATGTTAAAGAGACGGTTCACTATGGAAATGGTCTCCGAGATTTTCAACTGGGAGTAGTAGACTGTGGCCTGGATGCCACATGAGGCTCTGTCGACTCGGAACACGATTTATATAGAACATAATAAAGGATGGTCTAGAGGCGTTAAACATTCCCATCCGAGGGATGTTCGCACTCGATGAGCTTCTGGGCAATCACATTAGTTACCGCACAGCTGCATTGTGAACTGCCCGGAATGTGCAACAAGAAAACTGAAAAAGAACTGACAATCTTTGCAAAAACAAAAGAAGCTTATGAGGACACAATGACCTTTTTGATGTATGAGAGAGATCATATCAAAATTCTGGATCTTACCTGCCCCTGACCTTGTTTTCATGAAATTTTTTATGGACTCTAATGCTCAAACTTATCGGAAGCAATTCAGTGACATCTCACAAGGTTAGCGAGTTTAGGCAAAAACTTCGACTTCAAACTGGACCCGAACCCGTGGTTGAGTCCTCCAGGCACCCCTCTTTCTCTCAGTCTCCAAGAGGTGAAGAGCTTCCCTCTCGAGCTCTTTACCCCTGACAACTGAGGTCCCGCTTGCCCTGCCTTCTTAATGACTCTTTTGCCAGTATGAGTACTTGTACGTACAGCGTGAGCCGGCCTATAAATTCAGCATTGATCGCCTAATTTTCAAGTTATGCTTCTCACATTATTTTTCCTGCTTCTCTGTTCCTTAGCCGTCAGCCGTGCATATCTCTTCACGACATTAAGAGTTAGGTGTAAAGACCAGATAAGAAAGGAAGGGCTAGGAGGGGAATTTGTACTTTTCCTTTCGAACGTAAAGTTCAGCAATTAGTGCGACTTTAAGGCCAGAAGTCAAAGGAAGCCGTGGAACAACTGGTCAACAGCAAGGAAGGGTGAAACAGAGCTATGCTGCGTTCGAACTTACAATTAGACAAAGAATCCGAAGTGTTAATGTTCCCGTTACCTTTTTGTAGAGGCTAGTTGCTCTGAATGTGAAGCTGCTAGCTCTTTTACTAGTTCTGTGCTTAGGAAGGATGTTTTTCAGTCTGAGCACCTCTAGTTCGAGAGCGCGCCGTATTATGAAGATCAAAGTAAATATCAAATATATTACTTCGGTACAGAAGCTTGTGAACCATGCATACATCGAATAATTTGCGCCGTAACTCCGAAGTAGAGAGTTTAAAGTATTCGTCACGGGTGGATGCTTTGGAAATCCTAGAACACACCGACAAAAGATTCTACGCGTAAAATTGTTCTGTACCTTCTCAAGTGCTTCAACATCCCTTCTCGGGCTGAACACAGCAGCACCACTCTCAACCATGGACCGAACGTATGTTTTATAAGGTTTGAGAAGGTTCTTCTACTTGTCACATTATCTTTTCGCTATGATTATGGCGTACTGTTCAGAACTCCACTAGATGTTTCAATTATTGGACTGCCCACACATTGTTGCGTGGTATGTCGTCTGCCAAAAATGAATTTGGTCTTCAATATTACGAGTTCCAAGCAAAATTACGAATAAATTTCAGAAGCTTACATTAAATGTCCGACATCTAGTAGGTACAGTGAGCTAATATAGTACAAGCAGCCAAATTCTCACGCAATATCTTTGAGTAAAAACAGTATCCTAGTCATTTTCATGCACACGTTAGGGTCCTAACACGAACTGAATGTATAGAAGTGGTAATGTTGAGAAGACCACTTTTAGTTCATACTTATCAAATCCATCTCTTCATAGGTCTGTCCAGGTAAGACACAGCTACTTGCTCGCTAAACCTCATAGGTTCGTGCTTGACAAGTGATCAGGTTTGTAAGACCCATTTATCAAGACTTCAGGACAGCTGTAGTTCTAGGATCAATCTCATCCTAAAAGTATGCTGGGAACTTTCTTCCAAGCCATTTTTGTCGGAAATACTTCTTCTTAAGTGCTGTGATTCAAAAAAAGGATAAATAAAACTTTGTTCCAATAGAAGAATATGCAACATACAGGGCAAGGCAAGTGAACGCGGCTTTTTCACAATCAATCTGGGGGTAAGGGAATAGTGTCGAGAAGAAGAAGGGAACGACTGACTGACAACCTGCTAAAACATACACAATAAATAGATATACATACATATGTAATATGTAATACGTATCATACGTGACTATTAGCCGCTGTTATCTGCATCTCTCTATGAGCAAAACAGTGCTACGAGTAAAATAATACTTTTAAAACTCATGGAATCATGGCAGCAACAACCAAGTGTGTTCAGTTAGAAACCCTACATTACCATCACGTTACAGTAATCCGATTATTTTTNTTTTTATGAAATAAGCTAGATTTATACGCAAATTAGCGTGTCTCGGAATGGTTACACATAGGAAGCTCAACGGAGCCGATATAAAATTCCAAAACAAAGTCAGTGAAATCAGAAAAGTTAACTAGTTCCACGAAAGAAAGTGATCGACGAAAGGGTCCGGCTTATAAGTGATGCGTACAATCCAAAGCGATGAAATAGGGTCGAGATGAAGCAAAGTCTATGGGAGTTCTTTTTTGCTGCGAATCAAAATAAACCTCGCAAAACCTCATGGTTTCCGTCAGTTTTGATCCAGCCCACTTCTTCTGATGTCCATCAACACCTCTTCCGGAATTGTGTGTGTCTTCGTCGGTGACTGTAGCGTCTCACGCTGATTTGTGAACATATTTAGTTGCTCCTGAAGATAAATCGTGTCAGAGGATGTGAAGGGAACACAAAAAAATTCACTAGTTTTGCGAATTTGATACGATTTGTTCTCCTTTGTTAAAAAAACGGCAAATGAACCATCAAAACTGCAGAGGCTACAGAAGTCCTCAACTATGGACTCAGGCGAAGCATCTCCACATTTCAAACATAAACGTTTTCAGGGTTCAGGTTTCAAATGCACCGGCAATCTACTCCCGTAAACTCCAGGTAACCCGTGATGAGCAGTATGAACTCCGGGTGAGCTCACTTCCCCACCGAGAAGTTTAGGGATTACCTCAGACAATGAAGTTAAATAAACAGAGGGATAAAGGACGGAGGTGTTATGGTGAGATTTATTTTAGGTAATTTTCGAAGTAGTTCTTCGACGAAGTTTCGCGAAGTAGTTCTCCGCGAAACTTCGTCGAAGAATTGATCTTTTTCGTCATCCAAAACATACAGTATGACAGCATTCCACAATAAGTTAAACTTTTGTCAATCCTCAGCCTAGGCTTCCATTGAGGGGAGACTCTATCGCCCTGGTTCCTCACTCCCATTTGAGCGGCTTCACAAGACCCAAAAGTTACACTGATAGGTGGTCCTGAATGACGTTGCAGCCTTACAGGTTAGTCACAAAACCAGTATTACAATTTCTGCGGATTAGGGGTGGAATATGTTGTACCAATTCGGACACATTGGAATGCATGACCGACACATGGTCGGTACGTCATGGCCGGTCACTTAGCTATATTCCTTCCTCCCACATTGGAGAAGAAGAGCACTTTGAGCAATCCTGTTGAGCAAGCAAGCAAGAAATTTTTTCCCGAGGTTTCCCTAAACTTCAAAGTACTACTTCCCAAGTTTCCCATATTACTTGATCTCATCGAAAACAATTTTTGGCTGTACCCTTGACCAAATTCGCACCATAACGTATTTCTTCATGTAAATCTTCTTTCCCTGGGTGCTCCTTACAAGCGTCTAGGATCCGAAAATATAAAATCGCTTGTAACCGGAGCTCGAGTTGGTAGTAGATACTCTAACATTTCAAATTCCATCTTTGACACCGTGTCAGTTGTCCGTGAATGGCAAAAATACGAATAACTCTTTACTTTTCATTTTTCTTGGTAGTTACCCGAAAAATTCATCCGTTTCTGTCGACAACATTGCCAATAATTTGATTCCTAACCAAAACTCATTCGTAGGCCTCTTTTTACGTAAATTACAGTTCTTTCTTTGTAACACGATTAGTAACCACGTCGGTCCCTCTTCGGCGATAACGATTATGGCCGAGAAATGGCATAGCATTTGATAAGGAAAGAGAAAGTGCTCCGCCACTATCATCAAATTCCTCGCACGAAGGAAGGCTTATCTGACAAACCATTCATTGCCCAACCACAAATGTCCTCCCAGTCGTCATATGAGGAAAATCTCAAGACCCTTAGGTAAAGGTCTTCAAATAAGTAATTTACAGAAGCATCGAGTCATTACTTACCTTATAATGATGCAGTATATCTTGATCAGCCGGGCAGCTCTCAATGAAGGCGGCCGTTCGATAGGCGGTCAGTACGTAATTCCACAAGTAGGTTAAATTGCGAGGGAAGTCAAAACTGCAAAAAATAGTTCACTCATGAAAGTTGCTGCCAAAAATTGGCCCAAAAAAGTATGGTGCTCATTCACCAGACTGCCTCGCTCCCTCCCATCCCCATCTCCCCCTTCGGCCTCCCAGGACACAGCCAAGTACCCGAAAGGTTTTTCTATTGCCATGTGGGTGATTTGGGTATATTGGATGACTGAAATGTATCAAATCCATTAACCCAAATCACACGAACAAGAACTCTAAATAAGGTCAGACGCGGAAAGTTGGATTTAGTAGGTTCGACAGAAACGACCTCTTTTGAGTTTGTTCCACAAAGTGCACCGGTCTTCTAGACCAATGATTGGAAATATCGGTAGAATTATCAGGACGTATTAAACCTCAGAGGCCATGAATCATAGATATGAGTTTCACGTTGGCCCCCCCCCCNTTTTTCTGAATGTTGTCTGATTCATTATTTCTGAGCCAGAATTTCAGAAATTTTTATGTGCTTGGGTAAACAACAAGGGACACTCGTTGAGCTATGAATCATAATTGTGAGTCTCAGAAAAGTTTCTGTTTTGACTTAAACTGCTGGTTTCCTTAAGGATGGCGAGTTGTGGGCAAAACTTCTGCCTCGGGCGAGACTCGAACCTGTGCCCGTGCCTTTAAAGCACCTTATCCCTTGCACCACCGAGACCCCGCGCCCTCGTCTTCTGCCCCTTTTCATTTCTGACACTTTATTTTTTACCAAAAATCCTTTTCTTTAGTCTATTTCTGACCTTTTTTTCGAGGACTACCCAAACGAGGGGGGTACTAGAGCTTCATATTCGTTGGCCAGAGCACAACAAAGATGCAAAATGCAAATTTCTGTGGCTAACCCTTTTTGATAATGTCTTCGAGGATAAAACCATGGAGGCCACCGAATAAATGAGTCCAACAGAGACTGTAAGAATTGACCAAATGCCAAAAAACTTACTTGAGCATTCTCTGGCCGATGATACGCATATGATGTAGTCTGGGCATAAGTTCACAATCATATTCCGTCATTGACGGACCCAAGAGGTAGCGAGTTTGCCGATCCGCCAACAGCTGAAATCTCATTTTTAGCTTAATTCAACAGTGTCCACCCCCAAAAGACCCCAAACCCTCTCACACAAACCTGATCAATACCAGCTAGTTGCTCTACAACACGATTATAATGGGTCTTGATTTGTGGTGGTAGTGATTCAACCGATGAAATGTCTCGCCTTTCCTTGTCGTACTCAGTTTTAGCACGAAGAAAGAGTTTGAAGTTCTGGAATGGGTACAACTTGCTTGTTTGGATCTCCCAGACAAAATATTCCCGAGTTCTTTTCCCCCAAACTTACCCTGTAAAGACTTTCTATCCGCTTTTCAACAGTGGGATCTTTTTCAAAGAGAGGAACGCGGAATTCTTTTGCAAGGTGAAAGATTCGTCCTTCGATTTCACGATTGTCCGTGTAGGTGGCCTCCCTGGAACGTGAAGAATGATAATGATAACCCAGATGTGACATCGTTGAAATCTAGCGGAAGAAAAAAAGTTCGAAAGGAAATTGATACTTCTCCTCTTCGATCATGATCGGAGGCTGAGCACCCAGGAAATTCTTTTTGAAGGCTTCTGAGTTTACGTTCACGGTTTTCACCTGAAAATTGTATCCATCAAGGGAAAGCACAGCTGGGAAACACCCAAAGGAACAACTGTCCATACCTCAACTCGTGCTACCCCAATCTCGTATAGTGCATAGAGTTCCATCCAAAATTCTTGGCAAAACAGACATGCTCCAATCCTTCTGCTATCAATACCGGACGCCTGAAATTGAATTCCCATTGAGAATTGAAAGCCCCAAGACGATATGAATACCCCCCATACAAACATACATCTTTTCAACACGCTTTTCAACAGTTATTGAACCAATTACAGTATCTGGCGAAAGTGTTTGCCGACGAAAAGCGCTTTTACATTCCCAGCTATTATTAGCGACAAGTTGTGTGAGAACGAGCGAAAGGAACGGCTGGTGATTTTACGAGACGTCCATTTTTATGGAGCGTTATAGACATTGTACAGTCATCCCACATAAACGTTTCTTTTTTCGTAATACCCTACGAAAGTTTCCCAACGCGTGTAGTACACCCTCGGGAACATACTGTATATGATACGAAATATATCGGACCTCCCACTACCTTTACATATCACTATACACAGCCGTACGTCCTTCCCGATTGCCTTGAGACATCTGGGTGGGAACTGCCCCCCCCCCTCTATAAGAGGTCAATACTACCCTCTAAACATTAGCGCCCTTTCCCATTCTATACCCTTTATGGGAAACGGGCAGGTCTATCGGTCGTAAACTTGGGAGTTTGCCAATTGGATTGATTTGTTAAAATGGCCTTTAGTTCATGAACAATTCATAAGAATAGATAAAAGTTGAAAGATAAAATTCCTTGGCATTGATCAATCCTGTTTCATGGGTTTCATGGCTCTCAAACAACTTCCATTCATTATCGAAGCATTCAATTAAAAAGTCCAAGCTGCTCTCCTCCCGGATAAGCATGGACCGAATCAAGCGATGCCGAAGGGATGGACGGCGTGTCTGGTCTGGGTGGTTTTATTCAGGGACTCAAACCAAGTCCATGCAATATAGTGCTCCACTTTGCACCGCTCTTTTGTGCCCATGTGAATAGGATCAGAAATCATTACAAAGGCCCAGACGCAGCAGCCTTTATTGTTCGTAGTTTGCGAAGTATTGTTTATTTATATGATGAAAGATTTGATGGCCAAGGAAATATAAAAGATACCAACCCCGATGTGGACACTACAGTCTTTCCAAGGTGAACAAAAGTGCAAACCCCCTCCTCCTTACGTAGTTGATGACGCATGGTGAAAAACGAACGACCAACTTCTCCGTTATTAATTCCAGCCTCCATACGAACACCTAATGACGCACGTTTAATCACATTCCAAGCATTTCAGCCTGCCATATAACCAGTCCTCAACTGCACCAGACTACTACCTTACTGTAAAAGTGATGTCACTTAATGGGTGAGGAGCCGTGGGTGTTGCTACTAATTTGTCTCCTCGGAGTAGTGGCTGGCCCCGTACGAGGCGATCTTTAGGCTAAGTCAGGTCCAAGGCTTGAAAATAAAGGGTGATGACACCATTGCCAGTGGGCAGTCGCTGGCAATATGTCCTAGGGAAATGGCAAACAACGGCACCCAGCGGCTTACACCCTCAGTTGATCGCTACGCACTTTTACTTCGGACCTCTCTCACAGCAGATGAACTTCCTTTCGCAAGTCCCCCCATGAACAAACATCCCTAGCGGAAGGTTAATTATAAGCGCGTAGGTGAAGAACCGGGGGGACTGTTATTTGCTTTGGAAAGGTCGTACTAGGCGTCCAAGACGACACCGTTTTATCGATGCTTCATTTAAAACCACCACCTTCGCTATCAGTGCCTGAGACATTCCCTATTGTAAGGTTCAAAAACATGGCACTATGCAAACTTTGAAGACCCCTTCCTGTAGAAGAACGATGGTAGGCCTGATAGAATGGAATGCCGCAGGAGCCTGATAGAATGGAATGCCGATGATGCCACCATTAGCAACGTCAAGCTTGAAAAACGGACAACTCGTACAGAAATCCGTGACGTAACGGAGCTGACAATATTTTCATTTTTACTTCAGATTCTGTCAACAAATGTCACACATGTCCCTTAACTCCTTGACATTTCAACTAAAACCTCCCTGATGGCATAGGAACACTGAAGGGGGAAAAATCAGTGCAATCCCCAAGTCGTAGCTTTTACGACTGATTGACACACCTACAATGTAGATAAGAGCTGTCGATCGAGTAATAACTGGGAGAATGTCATCTTCTTGAACTTTCGAAGGAAGGCGCCGCTAGGATGGGAGTACGACAAGAAGAGTGAGATATGGGTAATGCACTTGACTTGGACTCAGTGGTATGATCATCGTAAAAAGTAGAGTACAAAGATGATAATACACATATAAACTGCCCTTTATAATCCCTATCCTAGTCCCTATTGCCCGCGTCACGTAAAATTTCGGGAAGAGAAACCGGGCAACCATGAAAACAATCCAAACAATACACCAATGGAAAAATGACGCCATCCCCATGCCTTGGACCGTGAGAGTTCTGCAATAAATTAATCGATTGAATTAGAAATAAACTAAAGAGGAAAAAACTTTTGACAGTATTTAATCCCACTCTCCCGTGAGACGCTCCCACGCATTCAGGAGCTCCCATCCCGAAATGCAGCGGCGTTTGTGGCTCGCACTTTGACTTCCAATATCCTGGGCCAGCCAATATAATAGCCGGTTTGCATTTTCATTCTACCAGACGAGCTGTTACCTATTTACCACCTACGACTGAATGGAGGGCTTGGTCGGCATAGACCGGTATCGATCTCTGATTCGACATGAGAACCATGCGCCCTCTGGAACCATCCTTTACCCCTCCTTGTTCTATAAATGGAGCAGGAAATAGTGCATATCGCTTTAAGACAGAAGTTTGCAGTTTTCTTTGACTCCTACATTGACTCTTACAACATATGTAGGGTTAATTATTGATATGGTCAACGTTTAGAGCCCCGATAGTTGGAAATTTTTGAACCCTCAAATAATTCCCTTATCGAGATCGAACCGATGCTTTCATTGCAATCGCCTTATAAAAGGTCACCGAGGAATAGATTGGTACTTTCCCTCAGAATGGAATGCATCATGTGCTTCACCAAATCCAGGAAAAAGGAATCGAAACAATGGAATTTGATCGGCTTTTCTTTTTTTTTTCTTTTATCCAGCATTTCTTACACACTAAAGTACCCAGTTCAACCAGAATACCAAATAAGTCAGAAAGGACGAGAAAAACTTTTCAATTCCGGAAGAACAACCCATTTTCGTGACCTTCTACATAACTTTCCCCAAGATTTTTAATGATATTTCCTTCGTAAGCAATGCCATAAGAGGAAGATATGGTCCCACTTCTGCAACTTCTCTGGAATTTCAAACCCGAATGTTTCCCCAACAAATTCGAATCCGTAAAGGAGTTCTGGACCCACTAAGACCAAGTGCAATGTCAAATGTCATCACAGTTCTTCACAAAAATAGGGTAACCGGTGGCGGGACGAATCGATTCTGAATATTCCATTCCTCATGAAACCACCACAATTTCACAACCACTAATTAAGCCACTTCTCGACACTTTATGGATACACCGGTGATATACATTGCAGGGAAACGAAAAGATTTATCCTTGCATCATCCATCACCTTCTTACGAAGGACGTTATCACTTTTCCGACGGGTCAAAATTAAGAGCGTTCAGTTTTGTTTTCATTTTCGCCGGCGCTCATATTCTCGACCTGAACTCCTTTCACAATGAAAAAAAATCGACCATAGAACATACGAAAACGTGACGTTCCATTTACTTTTTCTGGCCACCGAAAAAGAGGTTTTATCAATTCCAAACCATCTAGGCCACGTGGTGCTGACTTCGCAATGGCACTGATGCAACAACTTCTGACGGATGCCACGTTCTACAACCCCTTCTAATCAGCGGGTTAGCAGAAATGCAAAGCATTACAGTATTCCTGTATTGCTACTGCCCTACCATGGCCCTTATCATGCCATCAGGGCCTTCATTAGAAAGGCATATATGGCGCCGGACAAAAAACAATGTCGGTGTTTGTCACGTACAAAGCGATTTGTTTGATATCGAACTTTGCAAAATTCCATACCACACCGTGGCCTATGGGAGGGACCAAAAATCAAAATGTGCAGAATTGAGGAAGAAGTCGGAGTTCAAGCCGCTTGTTGGTTTTGGACCAGGTGGAAATGCGCCATGGACAAAATTTCGCCCAATATCTTCGCCTTTTTCAGTTTCATCCATTGAATGCTATGAACTTCCTACTTTCTATGACTTTGAATTTAGAAGCATATTTTGAGCCTTTCCCAAATAATTGCTGGAATCTTTCAAATCTCGTCGACAAAGTTCACTCGAAGAGAAATGTCAATAAGAACTTCAGAAAAAAAAGATCATTCACTATCCTAACAAACTCAGCGCAAACGGAAAAACCAATAATAGAAAAAAACGTAAGAAGAAACTTAGAAAGTGGGAAAATATTTATAGTTCGGGTAAAAACCACTTCTCCTCTTCGATTTTTAAAAGTATTGCGTGACTGCTTCGATTTTGCTCGGAATGCACTAAATATGATCTCTTCGAGACTCAAGGAAAACATCTTGTTTCGAGACGACGTTTCGGGTAATAAATTATTGAATTTAAAGTGATCATAATCAGGGTGAATTGGTCCCGGGTAGGTACCCGTCCAGGCCAGCCATTCCTTCTATTCCTTCGGGGTTGGGTTGCTTACCTAGCACGAGACTCGTCTAGAAGCTTGTACTTCGGCTGGCCAATGTTTTAACAGGATCACTTTAAATTCAATCATTTACTATCCGAAAGGTGGTTCCGAAAAAGTTGTATTCCTTGAGAGTCTCGAAGAGAGCAGATTTAGTGCAAACTGACATGTTCCGATTCCTCTTTTACCATAGCTTAGTGAAACGGTTCGAGATGGACCTATTCACTGCTACTACTCTACATACTATATAGTACAACATAATGAGGGATGCATCAGAGTGTAAGAACTATAAATATTACTAAACTACTAAAACGACTAAATATGACCTATGGACATTTATAGTGAAAGATACCACCACTAGCTCTCTCTTGGAATTCTTGCATCTCACTTTCTGCAAGAATACTACCCGATGAATAACGATCTCTCAGTGTAGCATTACGATGACTAAATGGGTGTG